ATGCTGGTGATGTGATTGTCTTCAAGAAACCTGAATAAAAAGGCACATTTTAAACAATGTTAGAAAAATTAGTCAGGTATTACCGAAACATTCATTCTGAAGAATCAATCTTTTTTTTCAAAAAAATAAGCTGTAATTTATGATTCACTTGAAACACTAATTACTGACCAATAAAATTACTGATTACATAATTACTGACCAATAAAATTTTCATTCACAAGACATGACGTTGAGTTGATTACATAATTACTGACCAATAAAAATTTCATTCACAAAACATGACGTTGAGTTTATTACATATTTACTGACCAATAAAATTTTCATTCACAAAACATGACGTTGAGTTTATTACATAATTACTGACCAATAAAAATTTCATTCACAAAACATGACGTTGAGTTTATTACATAATTACTGACCAATGAAATTTTCATTCACAAAACATGACGTTGAGTTGATTACATAATTACTGACAAATAAAATTTTCATTCACAAAACATGACGTTGAGTTTATTACATAATTACTGACCAATGAGATTTTCATTCACAAAATATGACGTTGAGTTGATTACATATCGTTAACATAATAAAACAGTTGTCTCCTGGAAAACACTGTAATACTTTTAACGTAATATTTATCGACTAGTGTTCTAAGAACTGTTAACTTACAGCCACTTCAGTTGAAGACCGTCAGGCCAAGTCACGCCATCTAGTGTCAACTGATTGTATGATAAATCCCTAGAGGAAAAAAAAAGGGAGATAATTGCTGTAAAATCTCTTGTAACATTTACACTTATATGCTACGGAAACTCAATGGAGAGGACAGGGGCTACCCCTAATCATTTTTGAAAGGGCCAATATATATATATCGCCTCCACACACTCAAACAGAGACGTGGAACCTCTGGTTTTATATAAAAACTATCATTTTTAAAATTAAGGGTTTTCTGATACTAAGAGAAGTCCTAAGTTTAGTTTTATTACTGATATCAGAACACGTACTGTATGAAGGAAGTTAACATTTAAAAATTGTGCTTTGGTTCAGTGTTGTCACTAAAAATGGATCTCATACTCACAGTGTAATCAGTGACGGCAGATCTTTGAAAACATGGCTCACAACAACTTGAAACATTTCGACTTACAGGAACCTGAGAAAGAAACACATGTAAGTCGAAATGTTTCAAGTTGTTGTGAGCCAGGAACCTGAGAAAAGAAAACACATGTAAGTCAAAATGTTTCAAGTTGTTGTGAGCCAGGAACCTGAGAAAGAAACACATGTAAGTCGAAATGTTTCAAGTTGTTGTGAGCCAGGAACCTGAGAAAAGAAACAC